CAGGAATGCTGCTGTGAGAAGAATTTTCTGTGGCTCTCAGATATTAGCCTGAGGTGAGTCTTTCTTTGCACTGGTGTAAATGATCCTTTCTGCAATTTTCCAGTGCAGGACACATTACCTGTGTCTGGCTAGGCTGTTTAGATACTTAACACTCTGTCTACCCCACAGAACAGCCTACCTGCACGTATCTATGACCAAACCATATGGCTTAATGCTGCATGATTATTTTTCATAGCATGATTTGACCATTGTTGGATAAGAGACTGGTCAGATAAGAAGGTCTGGTGTGACCTCTGTCACTGAGACCTAAATCATCAGCTTTACACACATGCTTGACTTTATACACTGAAGTCAGTAGATTGTTCCCGGACTCATTGTGAAGTATGGGCATGGTGTGTGCAGAACCTAGGCCAGAAACACTCAGCAACTGGCTCCCTGTGTTTCAGACATGTCCGTTAGTACTTGCTTGTCTCACACAGAGCTTTTTTGTAGCTTAACTTGCTGTTTGCTAGGTGCTTTGAGGGCTTTGGCTGGAAGGTGCTATAGAGGGACCAGTATCATCACAGGCCAGTTACTTGTTCTTACTTGAATGCTAGCACAGCACTTCAGCAGGGCTAGGGAAACTGCTGCTCTCTTTCCCACTCTGTCCGGTGGGTGTTGCTGCACTTTTTAATGGAAAGAAGGAAGGTAGTGAGCTGCTGCTTTGTCCGAATCCCATGCATTCTTGTTATGGGTATGCTTCTTTTGTCCAGCAGAGGGCACCAGAGGCCCTTGAGAAAGCTATTGCTTGGTGTAGCACAGGTCCTGTTCTGCCAGCATGCGAGGACTGTGCCATCTTTATGCACTGTGACTCGAAAATCCCAGCATCATCCAGTGTTCACAACAAATATAGGAAACTAGAGAACTTTCCTGGAACTTTATACCTATAAAGCAAGGGCTACGTTCAGCCTTTGCCATGAGCTCGGTAGATATCTCTGGATGTTTCATAGTTTAACCAGTCTTAAGTCATCATCTAAAATCAGACTTGGCTAGTTTTAATCAGTACCTAGGCCTGTGAGTCAAGGGCAGTTTGCCTCTCTCAGACCTGCTGCTTGGCCCTCGTTGTTCTCCAGCTGATGATGAGTTGGTGTCCAAGCCTGCAAGCCCTCTGTGCAGAACTTCCAGTGTCAAGATCTTGCACGACTGGGCTCTGCATACACTTAAATGCAGGGTTTTTGCATCCTGTTCAGGACAGCTGAGCGCCCTACTTATGCCCAGATGTTGTTTTCCTTAAATTCCACACAAGTTCTTTGTCTAAAAAGTATCCTGTGGCAGGGAGCTCCACAAGTTAACTGAGTGAAATGGTATGTTCTTTTAGTCATTTGAAATGTATTGCTTTAATTACAGTGAGTGTTGCCTTATCTCAGCCCCATGTGACTTCATTCTGTTGAACATCCAGAGCTCTAATGAAACAAACAGCCCTGGTCATTTTGCTCTCTCCTCTGCTCCAGTATCCATAGCTGCTATGAAGTGAATTCAGCAGAGACTGCAGTAGGGGCCTGGAGTTGTGCTCAGAGGCTTGTGAGGTTGCAGGTAACTTTGCGGGGAGTTCTCTTCCACAAACTCTAGTAGTTATTTAAGGCTTTCCTGAGAGAGATCAAGGCCTAAGATTCAGACCTGGATTACTGACACCACCAGTGGCACCTAGGTCTTATTCTGCTGGTGAAGGGGAAGAGGTGGGCTATGCAAGGTAGGGCAGCATGATGGCTTTTCAGTCTTATTTCCCACTTGGTTTGGAAAGCTTTTTCTCTGATTGTCAGTATCTCACCTTCTCTATCTGGTGAGAATTCAGGGCTGGATTATAACCACTATCTATCTTTCCTAAAGGAATAAGTATCTTGCGTACAGGAGCCTGCATAGCGCAATCAGTCTATGGCTCTCAAAGCTCTGCATGCCGAGGGATAAGCAGTGTTACTTCTAGATGGCCAGTGCTTTCAAAGCGGCTGCAGGCTTGGTTGCCTCTCAGCTGAAGTCTGATCTTTTAGAGGTGCCAAGTGCCAGCATCTCCCACTGGCATCACCTGGAGCTGCTGTTGCTCAGGCTGCAGGCTGGGCAACCCAAAAGAGAAGTTGGTGAATATAGGCAAGATTCAGCACTAAATTGCTTCCCTAGGTTCACAGAGTAGACAAGTGGCAGAGTCTGGACCCAGATTCCCTCACTCCATGGTTGCCTGCTGCTTTTATATGTCACTGAATTTGCTTACTTGGGCTCTGTCAGGTTCATGTTCTGTGGGACGAAAAGAGGAAAATCCTTGATGGAGCAAGAAAATCATCTTGTGACTGAAGCCTTAGACCAGGGCGTCTGAGGTTTCTTGCCTGTGGCCAGCTCTGTGCTAGGATTTTTGCTCACATAGTCATGTCAGTTAGGGAAGTGTGTGTGTGTGTGTGTGTGTGTGTGTGTGTGTGTGTACGCGCGCGTGCACGTGCCATACTTCTTTACCACCAAGAGCCCTCATGGAAACGTGGATATCCTGGCAGAGTCCCTTGCACCTTTTGCTGGTTTAAGCTGCATCTCCTCTAGCAGGGCTCAGTGTTTACAGTTCTACAGTACAGCCAGCCCTGCAAACCTTGTCCAGGACAGTGTGTGGGGCTTGTGGGGGCAGGGGTATGTAACTGGTTTTTAACAAGACCATTGTCCCTTTCTGGATCTTGGGTTTGGGCTCAGCCAATGGCAGAGAGAAGCCTTTTGCATAGCTTGATCCAGGGGTGGACTTGGGACACCCACTCCACTTCTTGCACATAAAAATTATGGTTCCCTACTGAAGTGCTCTGGCTTTTATATGTTTTGTGGTGTTGATTTTTTTTGTGTGTGTTTTTTTTTTTTTTTTTTTTTTTTTTTTGTTCACGCCTCTTTCCAGCTGGTAGGTTTGGAGCATTCTTCAGGGCAGGTCAAAATGGTGCATGTTCTCCTCCAGGCTTTTGTTCAGGGGATAGGGAGTGAATCGTGTGCAGTGGACGCTCCCCTATATCTACTGTTTCTTTCATAGCCTCTGTTTCAGCTTCACTTTAACTCCTAGCTTGTGGGCTGTGCAGTATCTCTGGGTGGCAGCAGAGGGTGCTTTGTAACAACAAAACTGCTGTTGGTGTGAGGGGTGAAGCAGGCCGAAGTTTCAGCGCCTGGTGGGTATATATGTGTCTGCTCCATGCTACACGGCTGGGCGGAGATGCCCAGACTAGGATGGGTATTGCAGTCATTAGAGCTGAGTTGGCATCACAGTCTACCTGGGCTAGTGCCCTGTATTGTGTACACAGCTAGGCTGGGTCCCTCTGCACTATGCTGCATTGAACCCTGTTGACATATCCTTTGTGGGGCCTGTCATGTCTGTGCTGGACTTCTGTCAAGCTCCACTGGTGACAGGCAGGATTTTTCAGGCAATTTTTTCTGCCATGGCAAGGTGAGGGGGCCGCACTCATGGCTGTTAAACCAAAGTGCAGACTGTCTCCTGCATCCTATTTTGCTGTTGTCAGGGATCCTTGTGCTTTGAAATCAGGCCTCCTTTTGCCCTATAACCTGCCTTCTCCTTCCACTGCA